CGACATCCCTCTTTGCTCCGCTCTTTTACCCAATAAAGGTTTACTAATCTCTGACGTCACACTCCATGCACACGTGCATGACGATGAYGTGGATTCGCCGAGGAATGTCATCAATGCTTCCTTCACATAAATATTTGGAATTCAAAATCTTTAATTAATTACTAGAAAACAACAAACAACTAGAAGGGTTAGAAAACAATGATAAGAAATAAGTGGTTTGCGAGGAACAATAAATCTTTCGCTAAAGTCAACGAGGATTAAATAATAAAAAGCGATGAAAGCTTCCAACACTTCTCCACTGCACTTAAAACAGCTCAAATGGAAATTTATACAAGTTCTGGTGAAGTCGTGGCTAACAGCTAGCAAACGTCGTAAAACCGTCAGAATTTTCTAAGAATAATTCTATAAGTGAATTGAAACCTTTCGAAAATCAATGGAAAGGTCTGCAAAATTGTAGCATGAAATTCCATCGAAAACTCTTCTTTAGCATGTTATCTTAAAAAGAATTTCTTAAGACTGGATTTCGATATTTTAMGAATTAAAAATTGGTTTTTCGCTGCGGTCCTGCAATCAAAAATAAATCAGTCGGTACCATTTATGTTCTTCACAACGTTAGCCGTTGAAATGTCTGAGTTCGCAGAATAACGCTGTAAAACTCAATTAATACAACTAGTCTTTTTCARGGATTTTCTTATGACGTCATTACGGACCACACAAAATCTTGTCTGAAACAAGCCAGATATGCCGTGCTGYAGCACGTTTACTGTTTAAACGGACAAACGAGGAAAGTGATTATAAAACCGCGATTAATTTGTCTAACAAGAGTWAGAAATACCAACATAATCGGTACTTGAAAACCAAGCTTCCTTAAACGCGAGCTGTGGTGAGCCCGCCGAAGGAAATCCGAACAGCGGTGAAAATAAATATTTAACGTACGTCATTATTGTTCTGTATTTCTTTGACAAAATAAAATAATTTCAGATTTCCAAAAAGAAAGTTTATATTCAATTATCAGGGGAGAATATATTAAAAAATATTAAGATTTTTCGCTTCTGTAATAAGAATCCACTTAGGTAATTAAGATTTTAAAAATTCATTTTGTTTTGCAGACGCAGTTTCCAGTTTTTCTAAAGCTAGCAGTCCGGGCTGTTTTTCGCTTTATTATCCATTATTCTAACTTTCCTCATTACCTAGATTCATTATACATGAATACAAACCGTCCTTGACGGCTGCAGCGACAATGATTAGAATTTAATTCGCCAGGTTGCGGCTTTTCTAAGGAGGCAACGTCCTAAAAAAATATTAGCATTCTAGTCATGATCTACTGAAGAATCCACTAACATGTTTTTGTGCCCTTAATATGTTTACAGAAAAACCATAGATTTTCTTTCAAACGTCCGCTTCCAAGGAGCGATTTCCCGGGTTTAAGTTCAATCAAATTCCTAGTAAATAGAAAACTGTTGTGTTTAGCTAAAGAAAGAGAATGTATGGACCTCAAACTGAGAAAAAACGAGAGTATTTCCTGCGTAATGCTGTCAGGGATTACTTTAATTTTTCCAAAGGGTTTGCCGATCATAAAGTAGACTTAAATGATTGTTTTTGACAAGCCCTTGAGGCCGGAGACAMMTGATTTTTGTYCAAATTACAAAGATTTTCTAAAATKCTCAAATCATTTTRAAACTAAATAAGGAACTAATGAACTCTACAGTTCTGGTTTTGAGGTAATAATATTTCTGATAATTAGGGTCATTTTGCTTAATCCTTTTTCATATCAAGTTTAAATTAATAAATCCTTGGAATTAAGCAAGCTGTGCCTTTCATTATTTGCTAAAAGGCGCTTCAAGATTGTTATTACGCTTTGATTTGTGAAATGCCCAGTTTAATAAGTTTTCGATTTGTTTACCGACTGCGATAATTTGTGATGGTTGGGAAACAATTCTTGATATATCACCGCTAGAGGAAGTTATTAACCGCAAGATAACCAATCAGAGACTCAAAGCGATACACTTAGAAATGATTAGTGTTATCTGTTGCTATCGGCTGTTGAACAARCGGTAACTGCAATTCAGCTTTAACAGTCGGACTCCGTCAGGACGCCTTCGAAAATGAAATGATAAGCTAGGCTTTGTGTTTAGCTAGCAATAAGATTCAAAGGATTACTTCTCAACTGTAAAGAAACCTTCAAACCTAATTAATGAGTAAAAACCCCTTGAAAAATACCACAAGAAGTTGGAGATACCTCCCGTATACTACAATTTGACTGACTTTAAGTGTAYGTGTAGAAGATGAATTAAAGCGAACAAAAGAACGGATATAACCAGTTAAACGATTTGCATTCTTACATAAAAACGTTCTTTGGACTTTAAAATGAATTGGAACAATGAGCCTCGAGGCTAATTCTGCGATTTTTCTCTCTCGTAGGATTAATTTGTTCCAGAGAGAAATGACAGGAATGACTGAAGCGTAATCTAMCAGATGAAGTTTCGTGTGCTTTTGTTTGTTCTAAATCGACATTTGGACTGTTTTTTCAGCCTGGTGTTTAGTCTTGCTTAAAACATCCCGGCCATAATCTGGTCACTTTGATTCTACGTTAGAAACCGTAACGTGAGAGGTGAAAAAATGACTTCGAAATAAGTAACGTAAATAGACTGAAGATRCACAGGATAAGTGCCTCGCTAATTCTGACTTCTAAACCGACCCTAGCAAATAGGTCAAGAGGCACTTCGTAACCGTCCAAGATAGCCTGTAAGCGATGAGCCTTCTAAAAACATAAAATCCTCTCAAACTAGAACTCATATCGGGAAGAAATCTTAAAACAACTGGCTTGTATTTAGGCGTGGAAAGACAACAAACCCACTACGTCAGTAATGCTTGTGTACATCAAGCTTTACCAAGCGACTATGTAATTTCCAAATCAAAATGGCCAGTTTGTATAGCAAAATAAAAGTTCTTTTGGCCTGTCAAACCATTGATGTTTTAATACTGACAACAAAAAGATTTAACTCTGACTCTGTCTCTCAAATTGTGTACACAATAAAATGTTTTTCGCGTATCGACCTTCAATCAGAGAAGTTTGGACAACTCGTTCTGGAAAAAGAAACGACAATGGTTTGCTGTTCGGGTTTTCAAGAGTTGAATGAGAGCCATGAAATTTTCCATGCTCGTTTGATATTTTTCTAGAAGTATAAAACCTCCTAAGATTGGGGAATTAAATAATGAAGAATGAGGTGAAGTTTTAGCGGGAAAATGACTTCCTATAGCGTCGGGCGCTTTTCCTTGATGTAACCTTAGAAGGGTTAAATCTTGGTAAGATTCTGTCCGTCAAAACTCGATAATTCAATAGAAGAAAACTGGAAAAGGACGGTTGGAAGATTGCTCAATCGTACGACATGGCATAGTTAGTATTCAATTCTTAAAATGCGAGCTCCAAAAAGATTGTAAAGAAGAGAAAGCATTCGATAATCCAAGAGAGCTAAAGTAGAGTTTATTTTAGGAAACTAAAGTGACAAATATAGTAAAAAAAGCTATCGAATCTATAACGATGACCTGTCTAAGATTCAGACGATTAAATCTGTCTTTTTTCCAACAGCAACATTGAACTATCGCATACATAGGTAAACACACACTTCATCTAACACAGAAGACGACGTTCGAGATCTTTGGTCTGGAAATAAAGACTTAATCAGGGGTCTTTTCAGTCCTTGAGTCTGTCAGCTAGCAAGCTGCTTTTGTCAATTTATTCTGTGCTAATCCKAAAATGGGCCCCGATTGATTGCCTCAAGTTCGAGGACACTATAGTCTTAAGCGGATTTGGGTAAACTAAATTGTTTTCCAGGTGAAAACAGAATAGCTCCGCATTACTGTAAGCACACGACCAAAGATGTATATTAACTATGTCCCATTTAATACGCGAACTAGTTCAATAATAAATACATGGGGATCTTCAGCTAGTGACCTCAAACCAGACAAGAGGACTAGATATCAGTAAATACCTGTAGTCAGAATTCCACGGCTTTTAAAGACTTGTGCTGTGTTGATCCCAGAACAATTCCATTGATGATCAGAGAAGTGATTTTTACACTCGGTTAGCGCCATCCCAACACCTCTTTGTACGTTGGCCACCAAAGCTGGATACARCAAGCACTTTTTTTTCTGATGCGGCTTCAACCACGACAAAAGAGGGCATAATTTCTCGGCGTTTGTGTTTGAAGCAAGCTCCAAAGCGTTTGCGTTAGGCATAAAAGGAACATCCCTGAAGAACAATAAAAATAGCAAAACATTAATTAACTCTCTAAATTGGTTACATGGGTCGTTGACGGAGGTAAACGCAGTRCTTAATCCGGTAAGGGATTCATTTATTTACAAGCTGCTGAGTTTTTGGATGGCTGGAACGATGCTGGAAGATGTCTAATCGACGCTTATGAAGTGCCCGACCTTTTGGGATTTCTTTTTTACGAGAGTCACTTGAAGACCCAAAGGATGTATTACAATCGTGTCGTGTTAAATAAAGCCATCAATTAGAGCCACRCTTGAGATACCGTTTGGATTTCACACGTAAAGACAAGCATTGAACAGCCTACCTTTCGACTCTTTGTCCGGGTTTTGCAGCGCCGAACWGCGCGATGAAAATCCACACCATAACCACAGATGATGCACCCATTCTAATGCTGTTTTGCTTTGGGATCGTTCGCCTTGTAAGAGATATGGTCTCTTGGTTTTCACTCGTTGAATCTGTCAATCTCCARGGCAGTCTGGGATATACTTTCTCGGGGAACGCAGAGAAAAAATCATAAAAAAGCTGGTTGCAAGATGTTTTGAAGTGAGTGCCAAACGTGATACTTTTTGTCCCTGGAGCGCTTCAAGGTCAGAGACCTCTCTCACTACGAAGCCCTTGTAGAAATCTCTCAACGCATACAAGAGATCGACTTATGTTTCTGCGCGTATATACGTTATTGAAATATCACATGCCTCGACTCGAACTAATATTCAAGCAAGGAAAACCGCTCCAAAAGAAAAAGCCGTCACTACTCGCCGTCTGATTGGTCCAAACCGGTCACACTTCAACACACCYTTTCTTCTAGGGCTATCATTCAATATTATTTCGACTAACTTGTCAAAACAATCGATGGGGCTTACCGGCCGAATGGAATACTTCGATTCCGGAAATTATGGAATTGGTGCAAGTAATAAGAGAAAAGTTGGTTGATAATGAGTAAATCTTGAACACAGTGGCTCTGAAATTGAAAATTATTAGAGATTGTCGAAGGCGGTTTGCAAGTTATGGATTGAAGTCTAGAAAGTAATTAACCTGTAGCGGGTGTCTAATTAAATGGTGCTTTGTCTTTTCTTAGCCTTGCAGAGCGTTTGTTAAATTAAATCGATCGTCGTTTATTAAAAACGTTATTGAATAATAAAGTGATTGAACACRATAAGGCGTCTCGGTACTTGCACGACCACGGGCTAGACGAATGCTTTTTGAGGAACGGAACTAAGAGTAAAACCACTTTAAAACCAACTCTCTCTCTCCTGTTTCCTAAGAGCTTCCTCGTACTATCTTACAGCTTATCTACAAACRCATTACAAACGTTTATTGAATTCTTAAGCGTAATCAAAATGAAAAAGAGAGATTGTCTATGACATCACAAAATCTAATAGCTCGAAAATCTTTGATTTGAAAGAGTTTGCTAGGATCTACCAGACGATTACTTAGAGGCAACGGACAAGCCTTGATAAAACGAACTGTTAAACAATTTCAATCTTTTAAAATAAAGATTTGTTTGGCAGGATTTAGAATCAACTTTGAGGTTACTTATTCACGAGATTTTTGGCCAGACAAATAAAAAAGAACAACAGCTAAAGAATCGGGATGCTTTCGCGGTTTTCAGTGCGTAATGGTCTTTATTTTCCAAGGCATTTAGCCGTATGTGAAAATCATTATTGGCGAGCTAAGCTAATTAAACATACCACAAATGATGGTTTAGCAACCATTGTCTGTAGCACGACAAATCGCTACATAATCCTTCGACATTACATCTTTTTGTATTTAAAATAACTAAGAAAAATTTGCGGGAAACGTGTTTCCTTTCGGAGATATTTTCTCGGGAATTATCGAAATTTTCCCGAAAAAAAATCAAAAAGTTCCAGATGTAAAAGTCATTGACTTTTGATTCYAATTCCTATGAGTTGCACAGACGGTTTTTATCTTTCTCGCCCGAAGCAGAAAACTTTCAAGAGAGATTAAAACAGCATTCATAAATAGCTGATAATGGCATATTCAACTTCAAAACAATTTGGTACTTTGTCCTGATTTCTTGATATAGCATCGACATGGCTTCCAGGCATCCAAGGATTTGGCCCAGATTCTTTCAGACCTTTGATTCATTACCATTGTTACAAGAAAACTACATATGTAATTATTRTCATTAACTACTTTGAATAGATCGCTGTTATGATTATCTGTTTAGCTCGTTTTCTTTTCTTAATCACACGTATCTTTTTAAAATAAATTTTTGGAACATTTCACATGAAAAAAATAGATTTTTAAAATACTTTTTGTTATTTTATGCGCCCGTTTTCCTGCACAGCAAAAGTTCAGGTCAAAAGGTTAAAATCTTTCATCCTTGTTGAGTTGGAACCCACCTCCTCCAGCCTTCAAACACCCATTTTTAGCTATCTATTCGTGACGTGAATCAGCTCAGCTCAGCTACTCCCAGAATGTGGCCATCAAMTCAAATGTCTTTAGCTCACAGACTGGGGTCTGACTTTGCTGTCTTCAATCGAATTSATCTTGGTAGGAGATCGCCCAAAGAACGCACCGCGTGCTTCAGGCAAAACTACTTAATATTTAAAATGTGCGAAACGATCACATTTTTGAAATATGTGTAAGACCGACTGTCGGGAAAAAAAAACCAGATCGCCATCTAAGGACCACTGAAGTAAACTGCTTGATCATAATGGATGTATTTATCAGTAAAAACCGGCTTATTAATACTAGAAACACAGTTTGTTTGAAATCAACTCTGGCTTAGAAATGTACTATCAACTTTGAGATCTGTATCGACGWCTAAGCAATAGATATCTATAATCTAGGAGTACTCTACGTCTGGTGACCATACTAGCACGATAGAGTCATCGTATTAAGACTTTCACTAATCCACTAACAACAAAAACATTAACAAAAAACGCCGTAATTTTACTAAAAACCCAGTCTTTAAGCTCATTGTATAAGATACTTGACCATTTATTAACTTATGAAACGCATTTTGGTGCAGAAATTYTTGAAATATTTTTTTGATTTAAAAGAAATACATAGCAATAAGTCGACTTCAGCGAGGAATTCTTTTGATTTTTGTTTAGTGAAAGCTAAATAAATAGTATAATATCTGAGCTGTGATCTTTTAAATGAGGTCATTAGAGATCCCAAACTATTGTCAAAGAAAAAAGGAGTGTCTAACAAAAACAGAGSAAGAAATGGAAAACTTACTTAGAGAATTCAATTAATTTACCGATAAGATTAACAACAAGACGACAAAATTATCTGGAGTTGTAAATATTTTGATCACTTTTTCTTTTAATTTAAGAAGATGACATCAAAGATGTCTTGAATTGGAGAAATACTTGAGAAATACTCGAGATATGTAATCAGTGATGGTATTCACATATTGTACAAGATGTTAGACAACAGCTTCATACCTACTAAACACCTTGTGCGCAGATTTCACTGGTAAATACATATGGTATAGTTTGGTATGTGGGTTTGTCGAGAAGCGAAGTAARAAAACATGCAAACAAACATGCTGGAATAACCCAAAGTTTGGGCAAATTTTGACGTGACGTTCTTTATCTATCATTTTTTACGATACCTTGAATCAAAAAAAAGATCTATTCGTATCGTGCAATTTTGTGTTTGAAACTCGTGCAATTTTAAAAACTTAGTAAAAAAAAGAAAGATTTTACAAGCATTGAGTTTAAACACTTAAATCCTTATCAGCCAAAACACAAACACCACYACTCACCAAAACACAACAACAAAACAGAGAAGACCACATTTCTACACATGTTTTTAAGTTCAGCCTAATATTTTGAAAACAAATCTACACTATTTCTCTACCTCCCACACAAAGTGCGAGATCATTTGGCAATCARGGGACTTAAAAAGTGCTTAAAATTCCAGTTTGCTATGCTAGGTAGGGTAACCTAGTTCAAGGTGCCGACATATCTTGATAGGTGGTCTAGAGATGCACTATC